ATATATATACAGAGTCAATTTGAACCAGTTTTCTACATCTGTTATGTATCAATAATTTGGTTGTCAGACATTCAGGTCTGTAGCCTTTGATGTTTTCAGTCAGTAAGGATCTCTTTTGCAAGTGAATATTTTGAGAAAGTTTGTCAAAATCTTTAAACATGACCTTCAAAACAAAAGCAACAAGACTACTGACTTACTGCAAGAAAATTGAATTTCCATTGTAAAAGTTTGATGACATTTTGGACATTGGCCAACAGTTGCAGCAGCCCACTTTATGATATCGGTTATTCATCTACAGCTGCATCTAATATTTGGTTTACTACTCTTCTTCAACATGCAGAAGCTCCAATATATCAGTGAAAACAAGAAGCACAGCAAAATCTTCAGTTACTGTACCTCAGTGGCAGGAAGCTCACTGCAGCTTTCTCTTTGAGCTCTCTTTGGGTCGCAGTGAATCAACATCCACTGAAGCTCAAACTGAAGAAGAGACATTAACATAAAACATCAGGTTATGGAGTAATTTACGTGTCTAACAAAATGGTCTTAAAATGCGTTGTAATGGTGCAGTTACTTCTTTGTGGTTTTTAGTGAATGCTTTTTTTATGAGTTGTTGAGCTTGATTTTCTAACACTGCAATTTTCTGCAGGGATTAAATTTTTTTTCTCCTTCTGGAATCCAGCTGAGCAGCTTTGTTGTGTCAGCAACCTTCCAAATAACAGCAGAGCTAAGCACACACGCACAAACCTGTTTGTTCACAGAGAGCACCATTTCTTCTGACAATACCTCCAACTAGAGCTGCRCACATTGTTAAAGGCAGCAGGCAAATCCTCACCACAACCGAAGCTTCGGGATCCGAATCCAGCCTGCCGATGAGAGTGTCTCCCGCTGTGTTGATGGGCCCTTTGCCTTTGATGGGCTTTTGATCCATGGGTTGACAATCCACATACAGCGTGACCTGATCACGTTCGACACCGATCATCACCTTGTGCCACTTGGTGTTGTAAAGCACAGAAAGGCCAGGGAAGGTGACAGTCTGCAGGTTCCCATCTGCGCCCATCAGGAAGTACTCCAGAGACTGCTGGTCCCCGTTCAGTCGGAGTCCCRCTTGTTTGTAGCCGTCTTCATCCACTATTTGCCAAACGTTCCAGACCTTGTTCACTGTGTTCTTGATCATGCGAAAGGTGGTCATGAAAGAGTATTCATCTGGGAAACCACGGGGAAAGTTGAGGCTGTGGGAACACCAGGAACAGAGGTGAAGTTTTTAATTGAATCTCACTTTAGGAAGGTATTTACAGAAAATCTTCAGTCAAGTCACAAAACGTCTTTTATTTCAAAGTTGTTTTATGATCACTGAATATAAAGATCTCAGCAAAATATCAAATAAAACTGACCACAGAGGTTTTGGTATAGAAATAATTTTGCGTTTTGTAATTCTGCACAGGACAGACCATGTTGGTACTGTTAAGAAATGTTAATAACTCTTAACTTTTTAATTGCAGAAGTAATTTATTTTTCTTACCTGCCTTAAAAGACTTGTTTTTGAATGTTTGTTCCTTTGAAAAAATATTGAAACATTTCTCACCATATATATTATATTAAATAATGAGAAAATATATTTAACTTCAGTTCGACCATATTCACTTAAAATCAAGTAAAACAACTTTCAACACACTTTATTACCTATTTTGGTATCTATTTTGACTTGCTTTGTAAAAAATAATGACAAACATTTTTCCTTCACAAATTTGCTTGAATGCATTTATAGGTTTGCAATGATGACATTTTGTACAGTTTGTTTACTTTCTGATTCAGCTGCCTGATGTTTAAACTGTGTTTGGTGGATAAGAAAAATTCGTATTCAATAAACTGAAGTCGATATTAAAAACACCATTGTTAAATAAAATGATTTGTAGAAGGAATCAAACCATACGACACCAGAATTCTGGATCTGAGTKAGGTTTATTGCCACCGAATCTGACAGGAAACCACACTGGCGAAAAACCAGGAAGTTAATCAATTTATACAGGTTCTTCAATGCCTGCGTTCGCCCCCTACTGACCTACGGCTGAATCACAGGCATTCAGACAAAAACCTCATCTACTGTTATCATAACGTTTTAATTATGTGTTGTCACAGATATTTCAGACATGTAACTGATCTATATCAATCAAAACATAATAGATAAACATTGTCAACATTATAAAAAGGAAAACCTAAAAATATAGTGTTGTGCTTTTAACATCAGTATCTAATAACTATAAATTTCTTCAAGCTTTTAGCCAAAATTCTTAGGTTTATTTTGATACCGAACATGTCCAGGTTCAACTGATAGATCTTAAGTTAAAATAAAAATGGAAAACCATCCAGCATTCTGAGGCCCCCCTAGCGCCCCCTTGCGGTCCCTCAGGGGGCCGCAGCCCCCACTTTGGGAACCCCTGGCGTAAAGCGTGTTCAACTGAAAGCCTGAATTATGTGAGGAAACTAATCTAATTCTTAGACATAAMTATTTATTTGCAAACAAAATGGCCACAGAAAAAATGCAAACTCTACCCAAAAAGGTCCCCGGGCCAGGATTTGATCAGGCAACCTTCTTGCTGAGAGGCAYCAGCTCTACCAACYGAGCCATCACGCTGAAAAAGTTTCTTTGTGTCTTTGTATATAGTGTGTGTAAACTTTTGGTTTCAACTGCAAGTATGAGCAACAGATCAAAATGTTTTACCCCTTACACTAGCGCCACCTAAAGGTCGACTGATGTAGTTCCTTTATTGTTATATAGCAGTTAGTGTACACTATTWTTACAATGAATAACGGCTACATGACTGATTGTGTGCAAATTTTAAATTAAGACAGTATAGGCCACACCCACTTTATTTGTGCATAAATTGCCTTTAAGGTATAGGCTAAGGTGAGGTGTGTGTGTCCCCATAAAGTGAGAAACTGAGTGTGCAATTGTGACCCTGTAAATAAGAAAGTCTGGGATGTGTGCATGTGTGCTTTTATTTGCGTTAAAAATATTAGACATTTTTTTTCCCGCAACACACAGCCTTTTGAGGGTTCACTCTGTATGTGGACTGAGGCTTGGTCCCCATAATGTTGAGTTGGATATCAACAAAAAGTGCACCTGAGGATAGAAAAACAAGCATGTGTGTGTGTGTGTTTGTGTGGGTATCTGTCATCTAAAACCACCAGATTGTCAATATATTCAGTACTGACTGGTTACACATGTATGTACACTACTTTTTAAAGCCCCTAAGGCTCGAACTTTTTCAAAGAAAAAAAAATGCAGTTATACCTACTGCATAACATTAGATAAAAAATTCACAAAATGCTACAAAATGAAAAATTCAAAGAAAAATCTAATGTTTTGTTCAAGACAACCTGAAAATCATCCCTGCTCGTGCTGTCTGCAGAAAATATATTAATTAATTAATATTCTGCTCTGTTGGTCAAATGCATCATTCTCAAGCCATGCCCACTTTTTCCAACATTACCATATTTTTTTATTACAACTTAGTTTATGGTCTCAAGCCAGTGTAGTACACAGTAAAAAACAAAGTGTAATTTTAACACCTACAGAGAGTTGAATTTAACTCTGTTTCATGTATTTGGTAAAATGTACTCTTTAGCCAATGTAAACTTTTCAGAGTTAATTTTACTAATTTTAGTGTCAAAATCAACAATGAATCGAATAAAATTATTTAATACTATAGCTCGTTAACACTCTATAGAGTAATATTGTTATTTTTACGGAGTTAATTTTACACTAAACTTTCTTTAAAAAGTACACTTTATTGTGTAATACTAAAATTATTTTTTGTTTTCCTTTCTACACAGTGTGAGTCAAAGTACACAGAGTTCTGTACTCTATCCTAGAGTTAAAATTAACTCTTGAAGTGTTGTGTTAACACTGGTCATGAGTTGGCAAAACAGCACAACAATGTGACCCTTCACACACGAGGAAGTAGCTCTCACTTATGGTGTCGACTTATGGCAAATAACCCAAAACTTAAACTTGAAAAACTAACCAACCTGAACAAGAAAACTAACCAGAAAATGATTTTTTTTTTACACTCATGAACATTTTTAGTAGTTTTAGACATGTAAACACGTCATTTCTACTAGATTACCCAGCATTCCTTGCTGAGAAAATTCTGGTCCACGAGGAAAAGGGCGAAGCTTTTCAAGAATACTTCTTTCAACACTGCATTGTGTTATATCGCGACACGGTTAGGTGTTAATCGAGACTTAACTGTGGGYGGAGCTCATTTAACACTGTCCAGTGGTGAGACAACACTGAGGAAATCAACTCTGTGAATTAACACCAACACTGGAAGTCAGTTTACTCATAAATAGTTTAAATAACACTCGGGGAGCTGAAATTAACTCTGAAAGTTTAACACCGCAAATTTAACACTCCATTTTTTACTGCGTAGATTTGGTAGCAATTCTTGAGACATAAACATACATTTTTTGCACCCTCTAGAATTTGGTAAATAAGAAATTTTAAACACTGCTCTAGAACAATTCTTTTGATGTGCGATATGAGTTTGAGGTCAAWATGTTTTAAAATACATAAACTATTGTTATTTTTGTGAAATACTAACTTAGCTTTAACATACATAAACATAACTCGGTCACAGAAAAATAAAACTTTTCCGTCATCTTTTGTAGAGCCACTACTGTTGATGCTATATAAGTTTCATGCTTATTTTGCCAATTTACAACTCTATATTTTAATAAACATGCACTTACAAATACAGTACACTTAAATAATTAGGAAGCAATAAAGTCTGTTGATAGGGCAAACACATTACGAGCTACTGATCGAAATGTTTTATCAATTACACTAGCGCCACCTACAGGTGGACTGATGTAGTTTTTTAGTATTATATAACAATAAGTGAACAAATGTATGGCAGGCCATGAGTGACACAAAACATCTACGTAAATGCATCTCTGTTTCATCATGCACAAAACTACTAGGGGAAAAAAATATCATGACCTATGAGTAGATATTGCAAAATTTTGATTAAATCAATCCATGATTGATTAAATAGATTTTTTTTGTTTTTTTACTCAGCCCTACAAATAATAACATTATTATATTTCTAAGGGCTAGTAAAACTTGTTTTAAATATTGATGGAAAATATAAAATTGAAAATTKGTATGTGAAGAAAACATATATACAGTATATGATYATGTTTGGGGATTTAACTTGAACCCAAAGTGCAAACTGAATGACTCTCAAAGTCTGGAGTGCTAGAACAAAACTTTTGTTAACTCGTAAAAACGGACGATAGCAACTTTCAAAAATCTCTGCATATTTAGGCTCTATGATTTTTGTAAAAAAAATTCTAATATGGCAGTATAGGCTATGCCCACTTTATTTGAGTGTAATTGCCTGTTAGGTTTAGGCTCAGGATGAGGGTCTGTAGGTATATGCCAAGTTTCACAAATATAAGATTATTGTGAGAAAACATTATTTATAGCGCCTCCTATACTGCAATTATTTTTCACTGAATACTAACTCAGAACTGACCCTGTATTACATTATGTAATAATGTAATGAAWTTGGACTTCTATATGTAATGAAACTGCATTAAAACCACATTATGTAATAAGTGATGCAAAATGTAATAAAAGTCTTAAAAACATTTTGTAATACTCTCAGCCGCATTATGTAACAACATTATTACATTTTACGGCAAATGTTTCAAAATGCGGTTGTTGCTCTTTTTTTGAAATGATAATGTAATAAAGGATCACAAATTGGCAACTAAATGATAAAATGTTTCCTATTTATTGATCTTGATTTCAAAGATTTAAATGCGTAGTACCTGCAACATTATCATTATTACAAGTGTATTGATTAGGATGAACAGAAACACTGGTTTGTGATCGTTCATTACATAATGCACCACAATATTACAAAAAATTATTTTCCCTCCACGAACATCTAACCCACCATCACTGATTGTTTGAAAAACAAACAATATCCAGCCATCATTATTGTTATTTATATACTTATATGGTAAATGGCTTGAGCTTATACGAGCTTATACGAGCTTATACGAGCTTTGGGAGGGTAGAGGTAGGAATTATAATAATTTGTGGCATGCTGCAGCTTCAACCACCAACCCACTATCTCACATTGTATTGAAGCTACACATGGAACAGTTTAAATTCACGCTCTTATTTTGAAGTGAAGAGGGCTTCCTATTTTCCATCCTGTACCCAGAATACATTGCTTCAGTTCTCCAATAAACAATGTAAAATTGCTAATATTTTGCATGCATTCATACCTAAGCCCTATCGTAAACAGCAGAACTTGTAATCCACAACAACTAATTTTTAACGCAATGAGCCAAAAGTCTGTTTCAACAAATCACCTCCCCAATATGTGGCGTCATATGCCATTCTCTGAAAGCTATTTGTCATTGCCTCCAGTTGGCAGTAACGTGCAAGAATAGCTCATGTTATCACCAGAATATATTCAGGTGAACTCTGAGACGAATTTGCACTTTAGAAGTAGCTTCTGCTAAGTTTGCTTGAGCATTATCGCTTTAGGACTTGTAGACCTAAATAATTTTATTAACTCTTTAGAATTTGTGCAACTAATATTTCAATTAGTGCTGCCCACCACTGTCAACAAGCCACCTCCACTGGTAGCAAGCAGAATAAATGTATTTGAAACATACAGGTCTTGGACAGCTAATAAAAAAAAAAACAGAACAAATAGAGTAGGTTTCCATTCTCTGCTGGATGCATGGTGATGCTGCTGCATTTCATCTGTGTTCAACCTGCTCTGCGGGCTTGGATCCCTAATAAAAAAACAAAACAGATTAAATAGGGTTCCATGCTCTGCTGGATGCATGGGAAAAAATGCTGCATTCCCACTGCTCTGCCGACTTGGACCATAAATACTAATTAAAAACATAACAGATTCAATAGGATTCTATGCTCTGATGGATGCATGGAAATGCTGCTGCGTTGCAGCTCCGCTGCTCTAACCTCTTGAGCCCCATGCCCCCGGTACCGGGGGCAAAACTGTTCTTTTTTTTTCTATTTGTTTTAACTTTTTTAACTTCAGATTAGTCTTTTAAGGCAGGTAAGAAAAATAAATAACTTTTGGATGTAAAAACTTAAGATTTCTTAACATTTATCATGGTCTGTCCTGTGCAGAATGACAAAATGCAAAATTATTTCTTTCCTAAAACCTCGTAACTTTGCTCCAGATAATTTTAGCAGCATGAATCTTTGCACAGGTAATGTCCACAAGTGGATTTATGGTTTTCAGGAGTTTTTAACCTTCTTCATTATAGTTTTAAATGGGTTACATACTGTCAAATGAAAAAAAAATTCAGGTGAGAGTAAAAAATAAATAAATGAAAAATATGTTCCATCCCCAATATCTCTAAAACCACAGCAACTGTTTTAATACTTACCATACCAATATTATTTAAGTAGAGTTTGTAAATACTGGGATACACTCACATACATTTCAGCATGGTGTTTTGAGCAAAAACTTCAAGAAAACCCCTTGGGGCTTAAGAGGCTAAGGGCTTGGACTTCTAATAATAACCAGGTCAAAAAACAATAGGGACTTCTGCTATTCCACAGCATTCAGGCCTAAAATGTCTCTGCCTTTCTGAGTTTTAAGGAACATTTAAACTWGTTTTTCTTTAACTAATGAGGATTCCAAGCTGTAATGTGAAATAATGCAACACATGTAGACCATTGCTTTTCTTTCTCTTAAAAAATAAATAAATACCTGCCTCTATTGTACTTACATTGTTGGAATTTGGAAGTTGGCCTCCCTGTCAAGACGATAGGCCACCTGGAGTGGGGTGGACCCATCCACCTTCCTCACACCTTTCAGGGGAATCACGTCCAGCTGAAACTGGGTGATCAGATCAAAACCTGGGTGGGGACAACATGAAATCATCTGTACGGCTCAGTCTCTGCTGCAGGAACATTAAAGAAACAACATATAGTCAAGAATAAAAAAATAATTTGATCTGTTGGACTCTGTATCCAAATTTGTAAAAATAGCTAAGAACCCTGGCTTTATCCCAGCTCCTGTGGATGCAGGGTTTGTGAGGAAAATTTGGGGTTGGTATTTATAGCACAATTTGTGAATTCACTTTACCAAAAACAGTTGTTTTTTTATAAATATCTGCAACTCAGGCATCATCTTTCGAATTATAGTGAATGGTAGAAAATAAGGACATGACCAAGAATGAAGAGTTTTTATTATCAATAGCAAAGGGTGRAGTAAAAAAAAAAACAGTTTGAAACACTACAACACAACTCTATTATTAACAATAAGGATTTTAAACATTATTACAACAGATGTTGAATAGCAGAGAACACTTAGGTCTGAATATAAAATGATTAGTAGCCCAACATGGAGGGAGTTTAAGTTAAGATGCGTATTTCAAAACGCCACTCATCATATCAAAAAGACATTTCTGTTCTGTTGGAGAAACTGTAGACAAGTTGATGATTTTACTCATATTTTGAGATTACAGTAGAGTGATTGCATTTTGGAGGTATGTACAAATAGATATAGAGCATTTTAGGGATTGGTTTGTGTTTGAACCCATCTGTAAAAATTATATTTTGGGAATAGTTCCCAGAGATACGGGGAATTATGATCTTAAATGTTTACTGTACTGTACTCTGATTGTGAAGAAATTCATTACATGTGCATGGTTAAGGCCGCAATCTCCTAGTATTAGAGAATGGAGAGACAGAATAAAACAGATCTACATTATGGAAAAACATAATCAAGAATATGTCCTGATGCATCTCAGTAATCCAGGTAAAAAAAATCWAAAAGAAAAAAWWAAWWRGKYCYYYKGRWKGGTTCTTCTTCAGTGAAACGTTTCGTCTCTCCTCCAAGAGACTTCTTCAGTCTGATGAGTTTCAGGTGAAACTCAGCCTTATAAGCACTGCCTCCACATGGACAAACAGGTTAGTCACACGCAAAAGAGGGCCATCGACTAACAATAGGCGGTCACTCTTTCAGGGATGAGGATGTTCTCATCCTTGATAGAGAGGAACGTTGGTTTGAGAGAGGGTTAAAAGAAGCCATTTTTGTGAAGAAAAACCGTCCATTAAACAGAGGTGGAGGCCTTCATGTCCAGTTGTCCTCCTCCTACAACGCTGTTATTGCAAGTATGACTCCGCCCCTGTGAGC